GTTTGCAACAACTAGTTTTTTAAAACCAGTCAAAGGCTAACTTTTTCTTCTTCTTTTTTTAAAAAAGGAAAATTATGGCAAGCTGGCGGGCAGGGACCGGGACTTAACGGGGACGAAACGGCAGTCCCGTCCCATCCCACGTTCCTTCCCCCAAAATCATCCCACTTATTTCTGACGGACCGGGCAGGGACTAGGCCGGGCCTCCCTGTTCCGTTCGACACCCATAGTTTCATGTGAAATACTAATATGTACTTCTCCTTGTATGATATTTCCATCAGGGTCATGCAACTGGGAACCTTAATGTTTTTGGCTTTTAAAAAAGTAGTAACTAACATCACATGCTAACCAATCATTTACTAACTAATATCCTTTGGAGCTAAATTGGTAACTGTTTGTAGTTGAGATGTGCTGATTTTGATTTATTTTTTCTCTGCATTAGATTCAAGCTAAGATGGAAAATCTAATGTTTCGGGAAGCACCTAATGTTTTTGGTTATTTTCCAATTTAATTGATTGCCGTTACGAAATAATTCTATCATGATAGCAGGATCAGGAAGTGGACCAATTAGATTGTTAATTGTGGTTCTCGTGTAAGAAACCATCCATTTGACGGTAAAAAAGATTCAATACTGTCGAAGATGGGGGGAAGTTTAGCTATTGAAGTGTACCAAAACTATCTCATACATGTTGATAAGAACGTGCAAATTACATTGAATGTAAATGGTTAATATTGTGTAAATCAAAGGAAAAGGCCATCCTAATGGAGCCACCTCAAGGCTCAAGCTGAAGAAAGATGAAAGTAAGTTGTTGAAAGATGCTAGAAAGTTGACATCTAACTTTGGTTACTGTTAGGATCGGGAATCCGGGTAGTACGGAATTTAGCCAAACTACGGTATAATGACAATAACAAAGATAATGGAATTCGACAATTAAAGAATATAAAGAAGACACAAATTTAACGTGGTTCGGTCAAGGTGACCTACATCCACAAGCGGAGAGGAGCAATTTCACTATACCAACAAGAGTACAAAAGAGAGTACAAAATTAGAGTAAATACTCTAATTAATTCCAAATACCCCAAGAGAATAACCTCACAAGATCACTCCAAAGAAAGGGTTCACACAAGTGTTTCCCAACACTCACTCTCTTACAAAATACTCTATAATGAAATAAAGGAGGAGAAAGAAAGACAAGAGTAAAAAGCTCTTGAATTGGTGTGTTTTCAGATGAGCAGAAACTCTTCTATTTATAGCAAGAAATCCTTGGCATAATAGTGGATATTATGTCATGGCAAATGTCATGAACCACAAATTTATTATAATGGATATTATGTCATGGAAAATGTCATGAAAATTTGGCCATATTATAAATCACCACATTGGCCTAATTTCGGATTATATATAGTAAATTTGCTCCACCTTCTCCGCAAAAACCCCAATGGGCAAAATCATTCTTCATAAATGCCAATCAAGTTTAGACAAAGCTTGAACTTGGACACTGGAAGAGGTTTTGTGAACATGTCAGCAGGATTGTCTCTAGTGTTGATCTTCTGAACAGAGACTTTTCTTTTAGCAATGGTTTCTCGTATGAAATGATACTTTATATCAATGTGCTTCATCCTCTCATGATACATTTGATCTTTAGTCAAGTGAATGGCACTTTGACTATCACAGAAAATGGTAATACCACCTTGGTGTAAACTGAGTTCCGCAAATAGACCCTTCATTCATAAAGCTTCTTTGATCGCCTCGGTCACTGCCATATATTCTGCTTCGGTAGTAGATAAAGCTACTACATGTATATAGCTTTCCAACTAATAGTGCAACCACTNTTTGATTTCAGCATCTATATTACTTAAATCCATAAGAAGAGAATCAAAAGTATCAAGATGAGTACATATAGAGGTACCTTCAGCCATACGAAAAGCGTAGAGTTTTTGCTTTAGGTAAAGCCTGTTTTCTACTGTTCTTTTCATATATAAGGTTTTAAGCTTTTCCCATATGCATTTGGCTGAGCTTTCTGTTGCAACTTCACGCAAAATCTCATTTGAAAGATTTAAAATAATACCTGCTTTTGCCTTTTTGTCTATGACGGCAAACTCCTCGTCCGTCATTTTATCCGGCATCTTCTCCTTTCCTTGCAGTGCCAAATCTAAGCCATCCTGAATTAGGATAGCTTCCATCTTTAATTGCCACATTCTGAAGTTTGCACTTCGGTCAAATTTCTCAACATAAGACTTTGTTATAGTCATTTTGGCTATTTAACCCGTTAGATCTGGCTCTGATACCAATTTGTTAGGATCGGGAACCCGGGTAGTGCGGAATTTAGCCAAACTACGGTATAATGACAATAACAAAGACAATGGAATTCGGCAATTAAAGAATATAAAGAAGACACAAATTTAACGTGGTTCGGTCAAGGTGACCTACATCCACAAGCGGAGAGGAGCAATTTTACTATACCAACAAGAGTACAAAAGAGAGTACAAAATTAGAGTAAATACTCTAATTAATTCCAAATACCCCAAGAGAATAACCTCACAAGATTACTCCAAAGAAAGGGTTCACACAAGTGTTTCCCAACACTCACTCTCTTACAAAATACTCTGTAATGAAATAAAGGAGGAGAAAGAAAAACAAGAGTGAAAAGCTCTTGAATTTGTGTGTTTTCAAATGAGGAGAAACTCCTATATTTATAGCAAGAAATTCTTGACCTAATAATAGATATTATGTCATGACAAATGTCATGATCCACAAATTTGTTATAATGTATATTATGTCATGGCAAATGTCATGAACCACAAATTTGTTATAATAGATATTACGTCATGGCAAATATCATGAAAATTTGGTTAATAGTCATATTAACAGTTACTCTAAATTTACAATCCAATCACATTATATGGAAGTATCTCCTCTGGAATCTAATACTCAAATATCTATAAATCTTGACCTCTCCCAAAACAAAATAGCTGAAGTCACACCAATTCTTTTTTAGAATATCACTGTTTAAAGGAAAATAATCCAGTATATTAAAACAATTCCATTTGTCAAGTTCATTAATTTTTCCAGCTATAACTTGGTAAGAGAGATTCCAATGGAGATTTCACATCTCTTATTTAACAACTTTAAATGGTTTATTCGTTTTCAAATGGTAACCATTCATGCTATTAACTAGGAACGGAATTAAAAAACTCAGCAGAAATTGACAATAGAAACTAAAACAGAAAGTCCAGTAAGGACTGTTGAAATAGAGGAGTTCAAGTTTTACCAACAATGCGGATTTGTAATTGTTTGAATTGTTTTAATGCAGTGAATTTGACTATTGCAAAGTGATCCTTCACTCATTGATCCTCAGCTCTTTAAATTCCACCAATGAATTTGGCGAAACGAAGCTTTCAACGTACATATGAAATGCAGGTATATAACCAAAATCGCCCTGAACCTTTGAACTCTTGAAACTGTTGTGTGTCGAATTATATAACACTAACATTGAACCACCTTTCAGTAAAATTTCATCATTCTGGAAGATGAATATTGGCCAAGGACGACCAAAATTACAGAGAGGGACAGAAATCACCAAATTCCATGCTCCTTCATCACCCACACATCCATTCGTCGGTCATAGAATACACACAGATTACTTCCCAAACTCTCTAGTCGCCAGTCAAACTTATCGCCAAAGTTGGGCATTGCTATATTACCACATGTCTCATTTACGAGGTCTAATGATAAAATAAACTTTGAGCTGTCTACACGACTCTTAGCCTTGTGGTAGGCAACCCAGTGGAGTCTTTCGTTTATAAATTTACCAAGACAGTTGGATATGATAGCACCTGTGAACTCTAAAGTCTTTTGCCAAGAATTAGTTCTTACACTATAAAACTTAACCTCATACAGAAAACCATACTCAGTATCTTTCTTTCTCTTTACAATTTTGTAATCCTTTTGACACTCATTATAACCAAAACCATAAGTCTCACGAAAGGGGCAATTCTTTCAATTCTCTTGTAGATGGATTCCATATGAAGTATTTCTTATAGCGACTAGAAATACAAAACAATCCATTACATGAACCCAAAATAAAGCCAGCAATTGATGTTGCTGCTATTCGCTTCGAGAATTCCATTAGCAGTGGCTGAGATTTTTTGGCTTTTGGTAGTACAAAAGCTTTAAAACCCTTTTGGTATGCATCCCTAGGGCGGTTTGCTTAGCGCATAAAGTTGTGCGGCAGGGATTATAATGCAGGAGATTATTCATATGGCAAATAAGAATTATAAAAAGAATATTAATATGGTAACTAATAATAAGGAATTATTATGCCGTGATTAATAATGTAAGATTGTTATGCAAGAAATATTTAGTTTAATGGGCATTTCCTTTCAGTTAATCAGTATATTTTTATTTAACATTTTATCTCACACAAAACTTAATACAGGTATTATTTAGTACATCCAACCGAAGTTGCAGTAGATATGCAGTGAATCATAAGATCCTTTGTTCTGATTTTCTCACAATTCTGTTGTGTCATCTGAAGCACCCTTCCACCATGGTTAAGTTTTCTCTATATATCATTTCATTGGTTTTGGTAAGTCAAAAAATAACTGATTGTCTCAAGATTGGGCCAGCTTGCGCGCACCTCGACTAATTCCACGGGATACCTGCCACCTCCCACCAGCAACATGTACCAGGTAACTCTATCCACCAAGGCTTGGATAGATGAGAAGAAATCACCTAGTATTTGCCTCCGCTGGGATTTGAACCTGAGACCTCATGGTTCTAACCCATTTCATTGACCACTAGGTCACCCCTTTGGGTGCAGATATGGAGGATATTATTGGACAAGTCACACATTCGGCCAAAAATAATTACATCCGAGCCAAATATAGAAAAAATATACATTGATTATGTATAAAATATGTATATTTTATGTATATTAATACACAAAATAATTACTATGTAGTTTTCCGTATATTAATCTTTTTCAACTTTAAATGGTCTATTCACTGTTCAATTTCACAGTTCATGCTATTAACTAGGAACTGAATCGAATAACCCTATAGAGTACAATGACAATATAAACTGAATCAAAATTTCCAGTAAAGACCGTTGAAACAAAGTTTTAGCAACACTGCAGATTTGTAATTGATGAATTGCTTTTTTGAAATTATTGAAAAATGTTAATTTCATATTTCCCCTTCTTCAGTAACATGCAGAAAAGGAGTTTCATGCCGAAACAAGAAGGGAAAATATGAAAGAATACTAAGCAATATTTACCTCATCCACTTATATCCGATGATCAAAAGGGCATTGTACAAAAAGGGAAGCCGTGATTCGTGCTGGTATCTTATGACTTTGTGGTTGTGTTCTTAAAAGTTCAGTTGAGGCATCGGCTCTGGCTCTGAAGCTACAAGCAATACGAGTTGGGTGTTTCGCCTCATTTAGTTGGTCTTTTAATGCAGGCAACAAGTCACTGAAGTGTGCGCCTTTTTGCCCATGAGCTCCATCCTGAAGAGATCAACAACACTTAACAGCTGCATCTATTTGTGAAATAAACAAAAAAATCAGCTGCCAGTAGTTTCTTTGTTTGTTGTTCCTTTTAGTTCTTCATGTTTTCAAAGTTCACTATTCTACCATTGCATACCCCCCCCCCCCCCAAAA